TTTTTTTAGTTTGAAATTAAAGATAAACAAGTTTAAAGATATAATCATGCATAATGGATGTAAGAATTGGTTGAATAAATTATATTTATATTATACTTTTAATAGTTAAATCGAAAGTATGTTAAAAAGAACTAGGAGTATATAAATCGTTTGCCTCAGTTAAAACTTGCATTTTTTTTCCTTACAGCTTGAATAAAATTTTGATGTATAAAAACTGTTATGCAAACAAAGATAAATGATGACACAGTGACTGCAATCTTACAAATAAAGTGTAAAAAAATAAAAAGAAAGGGAAGAAAATATCAAACCATGATTTATAATGGTTCCTTCAATGCATACTACATTCACTCTCTAAGTCTCCTTGGTTGAGTGTTTAATCTACTAGGATTCTCTTACTTACAATGCAAGATTAAATTGGAATAAACTCTTGCTTGTGGAAACCCTCACAAGTGAATCTCAATAACTCACATAACCACTTCAAAGATTATCTCAATCTAAGAAGAAAACAAAACCCTTATAAGCAAAATAGGTAACCCAACGAACTCACAAGAAGATACAAAGAGTTTCAAAATAGCAATCTTCCCTTCAAAAGTCCATTGAGATTATTTCAAATGAGAATGATTTTAGGACAACCTTTTTGTATAATCTTTTTGGACAACCTTTTTGAACAACCTTGTGTATTATTTAAATTATTAGTTTTTTTAATTCATGTGAAACTCATGCTATTAAATGCATCAACTCCTTTAATGATATGTAAAAATTATATTAAAAGGTGATATAAAAAGGTTGTTTTTATAGCATCACCTTATTTCAAATTTAAATTTTGTATATTTAATAGTTGGTCGAGAGATCCTACAATTAAATTTTGTTTTGGTCTTTAATGCCATCTCAACTATTACTCCAATCAAATTCCACCTTTTCTCTATTTTCCATAATAGACTTTAAATAGTCTTGGAAGCTAGCCATCCAAATCCTTTAAGACCGACTAAGATGAGTTTGATTTATGAACAATCAAAATTACTCCTTCTAGAATTTTTGTTTCGAACTCAGAAACATCAGTTTGAGCCTTTCTCAAAAAAAAAACTCGATTTTCAATTTGTTGGATTGGTTCAAAACAATTGAAATCACTTCAAATCCAAAACTCTGGATAAGGAGAACAAGAGCTTGTTAAGCTCTAATTCTAATTGTGAGAAAAAAATTAAAATCCTTGAATTAACTATTCTGCACACTTAACATAAAACATATTAAACTTTTTCAATCAAGATTTTAAATCATCAAAAAAAAAAAAAACAAAGAGAACCTAACAACAATATTATCAAATCAAGCCAAAATAAATGTCTACTTTAAAAAATAAAAAAGAATTAAAAATAAAAAAATAACAAGTATTTTAGAATGAATAAAATTTAAGGAATACTTATGTGGAAAAATAAAAACTTGAAAAATGGCTATATATAGTTAGTGGATAATAATAAAGAGATGAAAATTAATTTTAGAACTAATAAGATGATATAAGTTATGTTATTTAAGATATTAAAAAAATAAACTTTATATTATTTAATAATTAATTTTTTTTACTTTATTAAGACATGTGATATTATATATGTGAACTAGTTTTTTTCTTCTACCCGTTTTTTAATTTTTTATATTAGAGTTTAAATTTTATATTATATTTTATTAATTTTTAAATTTTTTAAAAAATAAAAAATTAGAATATTTTGACATTAAACTCACTTATGCTTTTATCTTTGAATTAGATCAAAATAGTAGTATTAAATAATAATAATAATAATAATAATAATAAGAACAATAACACTTTTATTTTTAGTTTTTAATTCACTTGAATTATTTGTATATTATCTCATGTATTAATATAGAGATAAATTATATTTAATTTATAAATAAATTGTTTCAATTTCCTTTGCTTGTTATTATTTTTTAAATTAATATTGAAATACTACAACAACAATAATTTATATGTTAT